TAGAAAACTTTTGATGAAAGTTCTTCATTAAATTTTTAGGTTGGACATAATTATCACGTAAAACAATACAGTGACAATGTTTGCCAATATTTTTTAGTTGGGGAATTGCATCTGTCGGTGCAAATTCTTGGGGACCATAAAGCCTCCATCAAACGGCATGAGGACTCTTCCCACAAAACTGCAGATCCTACATTAACTACACAGAAACACAACCAAAGCCTTGAATGGGGGACATTCCAGGCGAAACTAGAGGCAGAGGCTCATACAAATATCCAACATTTAAAACTACAACCATTTACGTACGCAGTCTTTTATTCTAAACAAGTCAACATTCACCAACATAACCTCTTTAACTCTCTTAGCTGTAGAGCCGCATTCAGTTTCGCGCAGTACTCGAACAAACTTCCATCAAAACAGCGCCTCACTGCCTCTTTTGAAAGGAAACCTTCCTCGTCCCTTGCCAAAATGTACAAAAAACCATTCCCCTTTACTGGCAATCCTGCAATGCATATGCAACTGCTCTTATTTACCTATTTCTATATGTCAATCATCTTCATTTTATAAAATTGACAGTTCAATAGAAAAAAAGTGATGCACGATCTACAACTTACCAGCCGAAGAAGTCCATTGTTACTCGGTTTCCTCGTCATGTTCCAGAGCTCTCTCAATGTTAACTATCAGGCGCTGTCCGAGAATATTTGCTAAATGCGTTTTCGAGATTTCAGGCATGTACCTGTATTGGCTTAGAGATTAAACTTCCATAAGGACAAAAGAAGTGTAAAGTAAAGATTGGTTTTCTCTAACCTTCCTTCAGTGTCGTAAGTTCCCGAGTCGCTGCCGTGCTTGGCTTTGTGTATGTTTGTATGTATATGGGTAAGAAAGGAGATGGGATCCACCCCCTGCAAAAATCTCGCTTGTATCAAGTTAACAATAATTTTGAAACTTAATCATTGAAATGCTTACTTCAATCATTCTAATAGAATTAGATGATTATTAGATTGTCACATATGGATCATAACTCACCGGGAGAGTAGGATAACTCAGACCAAGTTGATGAAAAGGCCAATATCACAGAGACTATCATATTGAAACCAATTGCTCTTAGTCCTGATTGAAAGAAGTCCAATTATTATAAAAGAAATGCGAATTTACAATGGAACAAGCAATATCAACTGGTTAATCCAGAATTATTGTCTACAGCATCGATAAAATATTTCACCTGTATAAGTCCTCCAAGGGTATATATCCCATTTTCATCTTGGTCAAAAAAGGCTACATGCTGCTGAAGAACACGTCAGGTTGCAATGATTTGCCCTAGTGTTCCATTCGGATGGTTCGTATCCGGAGCTTCCAGTGCTCTTGGCATATCTGAGTTGAACAAAATCGGTGAAAATCGTTAAATCTAAGTAGGGAACAGATATAAAAATAAGGTTTTCCAAGAAGCAGCACTTGGCCCACTGCATGTCAATGGCTGTAGAATTATCACGTTACTCAATCACCACCCATTAGACTTGAAAGAATAAAATTACAGTTTTATAAGAATCACAACCATGCTAACGGGTGATATTCACTCATTAATTAATTTCTAGTTACAAATTACAGTCTGTTGTTTTTTTTCTAACATTTCAACCTATGTTAGTGGTTTGATCACCAATTGCAGTCACAACTAGCTTAAATTTGTAATGGTAAAATCTAAATTAACAATAAGATTAATCAAATTGGTTGGTTCATGATCACAGAAAAAAAAAAAAAGAGAGAGGTAAAAATTGAAGCAAAAATGCATACAAGGCTTGGGAAGTTTGTCTTCCAAGTCAGTGCGGACTCTTCTCTCATAAGTGACTGGAGCATACGAGCCTCAGTTGCCATTGCATCCATGTCCATGATCTCTTCACCAAACCTTTCAATATTCAATTACCGATCACAAATTGAGCTCACAGCTAGTGCTTATAAAAGAATAGTAGTGGGAAATGATGGAGCAAAAGGAAGACGAACTAAGGTTATGCGTGGCGTACATGCAAAAGGTGAAGTGACCATGAGCGGCGTTGTGTCAACAGCCTACGGATTTTGATACATGTGTTGCACCAGCACCACTCTTTTGACGTTTTTCATATTTCTTTATTTAACCATTGTGTGGTGCAGAGATTGATGCCAAATATGGGTCACTCTCAGATTTCTTTCTTTCGCAATCATTTTGGTGAATTGGAAGGAATTAATTTGTTAAAACTTATTGATTCAAATTTATTCAGAATAGTGATGTGAACTATTTGAAGAAAACAACTTTAAGTAAAGAATCCATTAATGGACGTTTTTCAAAAACTTAAAAACAGAAAGGTTATCCGTTTAATAATGAGAGACAAGCAAGGTGCCATTTTTGGGTTCTACCCAGAAAATCTATCCAAGATTTGGTCGAAATCGGTTTGATTTTGGCTAAATCTCACCACCACTAGCGTCAACAACCCAAGCCATATCTCACCACCACCGGTGTCAACAACCCTCCCCATCACCACGAAAATACTTCTCTTAGTCTCCTGACCAAAACCCATCTCACCCCACCCTCGTTCACCTTGCCAATCACCGACTGTTGTCGTTGCCAGTTTTTTTTTATTTCTGGTCGATTTACTCACCGGAAATTACCTTCGTAGCCACCATTGCACTAACTGACCCTTCCTCTTCAAAAGCCCTATATCCCAGACTTCAATTGTTCATCAGTCATCATCCTAGTATCTAGGGTTTTCAATGAATAGGGAAATTGGTAACTCGACCCATTGAATGCCTCGATCCTAGTTGAACTGGTTGAACCAGCTAGTCTGGGTTTTAAAACACTGCTTTTTCCCACCCAAATAGTGGTTGAATGACACTTTTCCATCCATAACTTTTAAAATACTAATTTATTATCCAAATTTATATTCTGTTTCCGATTCCAGCATCTTTGCGACCCCACACCACCATTATTTTTTTCCCCAATCATCACTCACCAAAACCCCCTATACTCTACTCCCGCCGACCCTGCCAATCGCCGACAATCGAGCGATTAGAGTTTGCACAGCTGCCCCTTCCAAGTTAAATTCCAATAAATCTCAATCACCAAAATCCAAATTTCCACCACCAAAAGACTCATTGGCCTCCCCTCTTTAAAAGTCCCAATAGTCTGAATCAAGTTTACTCTTTGTTTGTCATCGGAATATAAATTTAGGTAATAAAGTGGTATTTTAAAAGTTTGTGAGTGGGAAAATGTCCTTAAACTATTATTTGGGTGAGAAAAAATCGTCAACTCATAAAAAATCTATCAAATAAGTTAACCTCTTCCCTTATGACCTGATGACAAACCCTTTTAATCACTAGGTTAGTTGTATATACAAGGGTCTTGTGTCTTAAAGCCTTTTTTTCCATTACAAAGGCTTTTTCATACCCTTAAAAAATTAGGAGATAAACATGACATAGATAAGGAAACTTGTCCTTCTAATATTATTCTGAGTATAAGATAGACATGAATTAGAGACACTGTCCGCTTATTTCCTAATCTTTTTAAATCCTGATTAAAAAAATAAAAACAATGGGTGTGTTTGTTTTAGTATTTTGGATGAGATTTTTGATATTTTTAGAGTTGGGTGGGAATAACGAGGTAGAATTTAAAAATTAACAAAAATACCACCTTAGGTTTGTTAAATAACTAAACACCCATGTAATAAAAATATTAAAAATTACAAAAATACCCCCACCCATCCATAAAATTTTGGCAACTGACCACCACCATCGAAGGGTGGCCGGAGTCGCTGTATTGGCCCATGACCGGCAAGATCTGGCCGATCGTGCGCTGAGATGAACTTTTCTAACCTGATCCACCTTGGATTTAGCTGGAAAATGCCAGATCTGACCATGTTTGGTCGTCAACGATGGCAAAAAATATGGCCGTCGTTGACCATATATTGGTTGTCGTTGATGACTAACTACGGCCAACGCATTTTTGGCCGTGGATCTAGCCAAAAAATAATAGATCGGCACACCACTGGTCATATATAGTCGGTAGTGCACCATTATACCAGATTCCGACTGCCTTCCGGTGTTGGTGGCCTGAATCTGGCAAATATGAGTGAATGGGGGTGTTTTTATTAATTTCTAAAGTTTTTTAGGAGATGTTTAGTTAAATTAATAAACTTAAGGGGTTTAAAGTAGTTGAAGAAAATAATAATATTTTCTAAATAATAAAACAAACGTTATTTTGAGAATAAGATTGGAAATATGGCAGAAAATAGTTTACCAAACACACCAAAGAATTTATTCAATACAACAATTAATGTTGGGCTAACTCAAAAGATTTATCATAAATTATTATTCATTTAATAAAATAAGAAACGAGTTAAATCCTAAAAGGCCTATAAGACTGATTTAATAGATAAACCCCAAAAGGGAAAATATGTATAATTAAATAAATAAATAGATTGTAATCTTGGAATTATAGAATCTTTAAAAAATTTAAAAACTAGAAAAACTTGTTAAAGGTTTTGATATAAATAATACTTTTCGGTAACTTAATAATAAGACTTAAAAACTCCAAAGGATTAGGTTGACTTAGTGGTCAAAAAAATTTATTTTGTTTATTGACTTTATGCTTCAAACCATCTTGTGATCATTTATCACATTTGTGACTTATAGAGTATTCAATGAAGCACAATGAATTTGTAGAATATTTAATGAACCTTGAAGATTAGTTGAATGATTCATAAATTGATCCGGATACTCCGGTTATTAAAATAATAATAATAATAAGACTTAAAAAGAAAACGCTCTTTTGTCTTTTGTTCATAATGAAACTCAACATGCAGAAGTAAGGACTTCGACTCCGGACACATTATCTGGACCAATATGGACTTCAACTCTGACCCATCACTGGGCTCCGGCCCAAATAAATAGGAAATGTAACCTGAGAGAACTGGGCCTCGAAGTACCTATCTGGTATTAAATAAAAAGTCTATGGTTGAATTGGAACTTTAGGAAAATATAACAAAAACCCTAGATACCGAGCCGTGCATAAATACCGCAAAAACCCTAGTTCCTGTCTTTATTGGTGTTCCTTCAGCAGTCGAAGATGTCGAAGCGAGGTAAGTGCCCTCTATTTTGACTTGTGTTTCATTTCCTTCATCACTATTTGCCTTAACATTTTGTCTCATTTTCTGATATAGCGACTAGATAGATCGTGTGATTTGATTCTTCTTCTTTATTTAAGGATCTGTTTGTTTGTCGATAACTCATAATAAATACGCACCAAAGCAAACGGTATAGAACTGCTTTGCTTAGTGGATTTAAACATATTTTATGTAAAAATCTATTATTTATTTCTTTAGTTTTTTTTTTTTTTTAATAGTAAGGAGATTGAATATGTGTCCTGTTTAAATCCAGTGGGAAAGAGGAGATATTGTCTAATTTGAAGAATTTTTTTTAAAAAATTTGGTGGCCTTAAGAGTTGTTCTGTACGTTGTGTGGTGGTTGTTTCTTGTTATTTTGGGGGGGTGATAATTGAAGAAAAATGGTTTATTTGTGTTGGTTTTGGCTATAGGACGCGGAGGATCAGCTGGTAACAAGTTCAGGATGTCACTGGGTTTGCCAGTGGCAGCTACTGTGAACTGTGCCGACAACACTGGGGCAAAAAACCTTTACATCATTTCAGTAAAGGGAATCAAGGGTCGCCTCAACAGGTTGCCATCTGCTTGTGTTGGAGACATGGTGATGGCCACCGTGAAGAAGGGAAAGCCCGATCTCAGGAAGAAGGTTATGCCCGCAGTCATTGTGAGGCAGCGCAAACCCTGGCGCAGAAAGGACGGTGTCTACATGTACTTTGAAGGTTATAATTCTTTCTTCAATGTGCTGTTTGTGCGTTGTGTTAATGGTTGGATTTGTGAACTATTGTTGGTTGTGTGATTCTTATTTTACGTTGTGATTATATGAATTGCTTTAATTTGCATTGATTACAATTGCTGCTGTTCTGTTGGCTACTAATTGCATTTGAACATGTTGGATATATGTTAAATTGTGTTCTTTCTGTAGGAATCATCTTGTATATAGAAGTTGTAGATACATAACTGCTAGTATTATCATGACTACTATCAACTAAACAGGTGTTGCTGGTAAAGCGGGCATATTTCCCATACTTTGGATCTGTGTATGTATTATGGTTGGATGCTTCCTGAGACCAGCGATATTATCATAGCAGTTGAATTTTATATCGAGTGGGATCTCTTCCATATAGAATCTTGCTTTTCGCATTTCGACACATTTCTTCTATGCCTCTTTGCCTTTTGTTGAATACTTTTACTTTTATTTAAAATGTTTTGAAGTGGCATTGCTTGGTTGTTTTGCTGGTGATGTGGTGCTGAGGATTGCTATTTTTAGGTTTCTCTGCACCTCCCATACCCAGCGATAGTGAAATACCAACTTACCCTATTACCGGATGGTAAAATCTTTTATCATCCTGTCAAGGTTGGCATACTTGTAATTCGTTTGAGTTTAACATTAGGAAAAGATGATTAGGAAGGTATATAGGATCATATTGAGCTTGCCATGTTTTTGTTATCTGGCTTTAATAATCTCTGTTCACCAGACATAAGTCAGGTATCCACCTCAATACTCAATGGTTGATACAGTTACGAGTCTGGAAAATTGAACGTGTCCATCGTTGCAGAAGTGGTGATGTTTTTGAAGCTCATTTCTGCTCCATTTGGGCCCAATACATCTTTGTATTCTAATAATCCATATTTTTCATATGTTTTGAGTCTCTGATATGTTCAAAGTCGAAAGCATAAATGTTGCCCTGTTTTGCTGGTTCATTTCACAATATGCAACACAAATATTTGGACAATGAATTCTTCTATTTATTCTTTTTTAAAGTTTATGGAAGACAAATGTGCTTTTTGGTGCTAGTTTCTGATGAAGCAGTTTTTTTTTTGGGGGGCAGATAATGCTGGTGTTATCGTGAATCCTAAGGGAGAGATGAAAGGTATGGCCAGGACAAATTATTTATTTATAAGCATTTAAACTCTTAGACAACTGTATGTCCAAAATTGCCAATTGAACTGTCAAATGTTTAGGGTTTGAGGAAAAAAATTTCTCAAACTGTCAAATGTTTCAATTTCAATTGATTATTTTCAAAGTTTGCCTGATTATGAAGTAACGAAACTTTTGCGTAGAAATCACACCCTTCACTTTTGGTTGATGTATTATTATTATTATTTTTTTATTATCTTAACTGTTCATTGATTATTACTTATTAGTGTTGACAATTCCTACTGGGTACTCATTTTGTAGGTTCTGCTATCACCGGTCCAATTGGTAAGGAGTGTGCTGATCTTTGGCCAAGGATTGCTAGTGCAGCTAATGCCATCGTTTAAGAGCCCTAGATTTATATCTTCTATTTTGTCTGCCTTTTAGACAGTTTTTCAAGTCTTGTGATAGGAAAGATTATGTTATTTGGATTTCGTATGTGCTACGAAGTTTTTGTTGGATAATGATATAATTTTGATGTTATTGTTTTGCTAAATTCAGTCTGCCCTGTTTTGCGGCGTTAATCATAAACATGTTTTGGGGTTTGAATGAAATTATATTAAGATAAGAAATTTAGTATAATGATATTCTCAGGATAACATTATATTATGATATGAAATAGAGGAATCATCTATATTTCAAGCAGTGGAAATTGTTTGAATCAATATTGTGATACCGTAAATATCAGTATTCATTTGGCCTTAGCAATACGTCTAATGTTCCTGAATCTCTCTTGTGAAAACTCCGCTGCATAGCATACTCTATGATATGAACATGTATGGCAGAAGATATATTATTAATTTATTAAACATTTAAACCTAATATTTAAATTCGACAATATTAATAGTTTTTTAGTAAACTATTTTTTTCACTCAAATAATGGGTTATTCTTTAAATATCATTTTCTCATTCATTCAAAAAAATATTTTAAATGATACTTCCCATTGACTCTTGACAATTGTCAATAATCGAGCAATTAAAATTTACATAATCACCTCTTTTAAGTCAAATTTTGGCCAATTATAACCACCAAAATTCAATATTTCATCATTAAAAAGCTCATCAACCTCCCTTTCTAGAAAACCCGAACAACAATCATAACCATCAAAATTCAATATCGAACAACAATCATAACCATCAAAATTCAATATTTCATCATAAAAGACTTGCCAACCTCTCCTTCTAGAAAACCCGAACAACATAGATGATCTTCATTTGCCACCAAAGTCAAAAAGCATGTTTTTTTAGTGGAAAAATGATATTTTAAAAGTCTTATCAAGCCATTGGGTTGAAAAAAGTGGTTAACTCAAATAATAATGGAGTAATGAGCACGATTCCAGAAAGCAAGTTATAAGACCACTGGGATTGTCTAAAACCGCAATTTACTGACTAGTAAGGTACCCAAATTTTGTACAGTTCTAACAATGTTTGCAAACCAGTGACAGTAGAAAACTTTTGATAAAAGTTCTTCATTAAATTTTATAGTTGGACATAATTATCACGATAAAACAATACAGTGACAATGTTTGCCAATATTTTTTTAGTTGGGGATATTGCATCTGTCGGTGCAAATTCTTGGGGACCAATAAAGCCTCCAATCAAACTGGCATTGAGGGACTCTTCCCACAAAAACTGCAGATCCTACATTAACTACACAGAAACACAACCCAAAAGCCTTCGAATGGAGGACATTCCAGGCGAAACTAGAGGCAGAGGCTCATAGCAAATATCCAACATTTAAAACTACAACCATTTACGTACGCAGTCTTTTTATTCTAAAACAAGTCCAACATTCACCAACATAACCTCTTTAACTCATCTTAGCTGTAGAGCCAGCATTCAGTTTCGCGAAGTACTCGAACAAACTTCCATCAAAACAGCGCCTCACTGCCTCTTTTGAAAGGAAACCTTCCTCGTCCCTTGCCAAAATGTACAAAACAAACCATTCCCCTTTACTGGCAATCCTGCAATGCATATGCAACCCAACATTGCTCTTATTTACCGTATTTCTATATGTACAATCATCTTCATTTTAATAAAATTGACAGTTCAATAGAAAAAAAAAAGTGGATGCACTGATTAACAACTTACCAGCCGAAGAAGTCCATTGTTACTCGGTTTCCCTCAGTCATGTTCCAGAGCTCTCTCAATGTTAACTTATCAGGCGCTGTCCGAGAATATTTGCTAAATGCGTTTTCGAGATTTACAGGCATGTACCTGTATTTGGCTTGAGAGATTAAACTTCCATAAGGACAAAAGAAGTGTAAAGTAAAGATTGGTTTTCTCTAACCTTCCTTCAGTGTCGTAAGTTCCCGAGTCGCTGCCGTGCTTGGCTTTGTGTATGTTGTGTATGTATATGGGTAAGAAAGGAGATGGGATCCACCCCTGCAAAATCTCGCTTGTATCAAGTCATAACAAATAATTTTTGAAACTTCAATCATTGAAATGGCTTACTTCAATCATTCTAATAGAATTAGATGATTATTAGATTGTCACATATGGATCATAACTCACCGGGAGAGTAGGATAACTCAGACCCAAGTTGATGAAAAAGGCCAATATCACAGAGACTATCATATTGAAACCAATTGCTCTTAGTCCTGATTGAAAAGAAGTCCAAATTATTATAAAAGAAATGCGAATTTACAATGGAACAAGCAATATCAACTGGTTAATCCAGAATTATTGTCTACAGCATCGATAAAATATTTCACCTGTATAAGTCTCCCAAGGGTATATGATCCCATTTTCATCTTGGTCAAAAAAGGCTACATGCTGCTGAAGAACACTCAGGTTGCAATGATTGTGCCCTAGTGTTCCATTCGGATGGTTCGTATCCGGAGCTTCCAGTGCTCTTGGCATATCTGAGTTGAACATAAATCGGTGAAAATCGTTAAATCTAAGTAGGGAACAGATATAAGAAATAAGGTTTTGCCAAGAGAGCAGGCACCTTATTGGCCCACTGCATGTCAAATGGCTGTAGAATTATCACGGTTAGCTCAATAACCACCCATTAGACTTGAAAGAATAAAATTACAGTTTTATAAGGGATCACAACCATGCTAACGGGTGAATTTCTAGTTACAAATTTACAGTCTGTTGTTTTTTTTTCTAAACATTTCAACCTATGTTAGTGGTTTGATCGACCAATTGCAGTCACAACTAGCTTAAATTTGTAATGTAAAATCTAAATTAACAATAAGATTAATCAAATTGGTTGGTTCATGATCACAGAAAAGAAATAAAAAAAAGAGAGGTGAAAATTGAAGCAAAAATGCATACAAGGCTTGGGAAGTTTGTCTTCCAAGTCAGTGCGGACTCTTCTCTCATGAGTGACTGGAGCATACGGAGCCTCAGTTGCCATTGCATCCATGTCCATGATCTCTTCACCAAACTCTTCAAATATTCAATTACCAAAAAAGCTGCTTAAACCGATCACAAATTGAGCTCACAGCTAGCTGCTTATAAAAGAATAGTAGTGGGAAATGATGGAAGCAAAAAAGGAGACGCAAACTAAGGTTATGCGTGGCGTACATGCAAAAGGTGAAGTGACCATGAGCGGCCTTGTGTCAACAGCCTACGGACTTTTGATACATGTGTTGCACCAGCACCACTCTTTTGACGTTTTTCATATTTCTTTTATTTAACCAATTGTGTGGTGCAGAGATTGATGCCAAATGATGGGTCACTCTCAGATTTCTTTCTTTCTGCAATCATTTTTGAGTGAATTGGAAGGAATTAATTTCGTTAAAACTTATTGATTCAAATTTATTCAGAATAGTGATGTGAACTATTTGAAGAAAAACAACTTTAAGTAAAGAATATCCATTAATGGACGTTTTCAAAAACTTAAAAACAGAAAGGTTATCCGTTTAATAATGAGAACTAACGCTTGATAATGCAGCTGCTAACACCGCGACAATCTCTTTATTTGAAAAGAGATTGGATCCACGTGGGGAAGGCAAATTTGTTCACCAGAGATGTGCTTGCCACATCATCAATTTGATAGTTAAAGCAGGTTTAGATGCTATACATTCGAAGATGGAGAGGGTGCGCAGAGCTATCAGATTTATCGTCAGCGGTAGCAATAAAAGATGGCAGGAGTACGTCAAATATTGTAAGCAAGAGGACCCACCGGTTCGACCTTTGAAGTTATGTACGGACATGCCTATCCGTTGGAACTCTACCTACTTGATGTTGGAAAAAGCTTTGCCAACCGCGAAACAAATTACAGATTTCATCAACCGAAAAAACAATACAGAAGAAGTTGTCAACTATGATGATTGGGCGGTTTGTGAACTTTTTTATTCATTTCTTCAAATTTTTTATGATGCTACTAATACATTAAGTGGTACTTATTATCCAACTACTAATTTAGTGTTAGATATTTTACTTTAAATTGCTAAAACTTTTGCTCAATAGAGATATAATAACATTTTAAGTAAAATTGTTTTAAATATGGAAGAAAAATATAAGAGATATTGGTTAGATATTCCATTCTTATATGGATTAGGCCTTGTTCTAGATCCTAGGTTTAAATTACACGTTGTTAACTGTATAACTACTGAGATAGGCCAGCATTTAGGATATGATTATACGTCTTATTTGACTGACTTTAAACAAAAATTGGATAGCCTTTTCTTTATATGAGAACAGGTACAGTGGAAGTGGAAGTGGAAGTGGAACGTTCAGGAGAGAGGATCCGGACCTTAATGCAGCCCTCTGTCAAGGATCGAGCAAGTGGACGTATGTGGAACGTGACGGAAGTAGCAGCTCCAACTCATACATACATGGACCAAATGAGCTAAATCGCTACCTACAAGTGGACCTGTCCTTTATGATGATGAAGGAGCAACATGATATGGATATTCTTCAGTAGTGGAACCAACATGAAAGTCGATTCCCCATTGTAGCCCAAATGGCAAGTGACATTTTATCTGTTCCGGTTTCTACAATTGCATCCGAGTCAACATTTTCAACGAGTGGTCGGATTGTTGAAGACAGAAGATGTTCTTTAACTGATGAGATGATTGAAGTGATAACGTGTTTACGGGATTGGACTCATGCAGAAAGAAAACTACAACAGCACCCTGAAGATCCCAAATTACTCAAACTCTTTAGGAATACAGATTTGAATGACGCAAATTTTGTTGACGATGAAAATGAATAATTTAATTAAAAAAAATTATTTAACTGTTTATTTGTGAAGCGTGAATGTGTGAAACGTGAATTTATGTTAAAAATTAAAATTAACTATTAATTAATTTATTATTTTTTAAAATTAATAAAATTTTTAGAAACTTACTAATCTACCCCTGAAAAATACTGAAAACCCCCTACAAAATTTTGTTTCGCCCCCAAAATATAAAAAAAGATCAAGGGGAAAAAAAATTGTCCAGGCCCATAGGACCGGTCCTAGGCCCATAGGACGAGTCTTTAGGTTCGGTCCGGGTCCTTATTTTGATCATGGGCCTAGACTGGTCCCAGGCCCATGAGCGATTGGTCCCATTTGGGACCAGTCCCAAATGGGCCCAGGCTCGGGCTTGCTTGGGACTGGTCCCTGCCCACCTCTACCCCATTCAGAAGGCCATAACTTTTGATCTGAGAAGAGTTACGAGGCTTGTAAGATACCGTTGGAAAGCTCATTCAGAGCCTGTCATAAGTCTATCAACATGGACAAACGTAGAATGTCTGGCGGATGAATTCATGGAGCTAGCTAAACATCAGAAGTTCGTACGTAAAGCCCAAAGGCTTAAATGAGCATGTCTCATTCAGACGACCATAACTTTTTATCTGGGAAGAGTTGTGGGGCCTGTAAGATACCGTTGGAAATCTCATTCAGAGCCCGTCGACAAGGACTGATGTAGAATGTCTGATGGGTTAGTTTATGGGGTAGGCTGAGCGTTAGAACTCTGTGCATAAAGCCCAAATGGCTTAAATGAGCATGCCCTATTTAGACGACCATAACTTTTCATCCGGGAAGAGTTACGGGGCCTGTAAGATACCATTGGCAAGCTCATTCGGAGCCCGTCAGAAGTCTATTGATGTGGACTAATGTAAAATGTCTGGCGGATGAATTCATGGAGCAGGCTGAACATCAGAAGTCCGTGCATAAAGCTCAAAGGGCTTAAATGAGCATGTCTCATTCAGATGGCCATATCTTTTTATTCGGGAAGAGTTACGGGGCCAGTAAGATACCGTTGGAAATCTTATTCAAAGCCCGTCGACATGGACTGATGTAAAATGTCTGACAAATGAGTTCATGGAGTGGCCAAAACGTCAAAACTCCGGGTGTAAAGCCTAAAGGGCTTAAATGAGCATGCCCTATTCAGACAACCATAACTTTTGATTCGGGAAGAGTTACGGGGCCTGTAAGATACTGTTGGAAAGCTCATTTAGAGCCTGTCAAAAACTTATTGACATGGAGTAATGTAGAACGTCGGGTAGATGAATTCATGCAGTGGGCTGAACGCTAGAATTCCGTGCGTAAAGCCCAAAGGGTTAAATGAGCATGTTCTATTCAGACAACCATAACTTTTGATCCGGGAAGAGTTATGGGGCCTGTAAGATACCGTTGGAAAGCTCATTCAGAGCCCGTCAGAAGTCTGTCAATGTGGACTAATGTGGAATGTCTAGCGGATGAATTCATGGAGCTGGCTGAACGTCAGAAATCTGTGCGTAAAGCCCAAAGGGCTTAAATGAGCATATCCCATTCAGATGGCTATAACTTTTTATCCAGGAAGAGGTACAGAGCCTGTACGATACCGTTGGAAATCTCATTCAGAGCCCGTCGACATGGTCTTATGTAAAATGTTTGATGGATGAATTCATTGAGCAGGCTGAATTTCAGAACTCCGTGCATAAAGCCCAAAAGGTTTAAATGAGCATGCCCAAGTCAGACGGCCATAACTTTTGATCTGGAAAGAGTTACGAGGCCTGTTAGATACAATTGGAAAGCTCATTTAGAGCCCGTTTTAAGTCTGTCGACCTGGACTAACGTAGAATGTCTGGTGGATGAATTCATATAGTGGACTGAACGTTAGAACTCCGTGCGTAAAGCCCAAAGGGCTTAAATGAGCTTGCCCCATTCAGACGACCATAACTTTTGATCTGAGAAGAGTTACGAGGCCTGTAAGATACCGTTGGAAAGCTCATTCAGAGCCCGTAAGAAGTCTATCAACATGGACAAATGTACAATGTCTGGCAGATGAATTCATGGAGCTGGCTAAACATCAGAAGTTCGTGCATAAAGCCCAAAGGGCTTAAATGAGCATGTCCCATTCAGACGACCATAACGTTTTATCCGGGAAGAGTTATGGGGCCTGTAAGATACCGTTGGAAATGTCATTCAGAGCCAATTGACATGGACTAATGTAGAAATCTGACGGATTAGTTTATGGAGCGGGCTAAACGTCAAAACTCTATACGTAAAGCCTAAAGGGCTTAAATGAGCAAGCCCCATTCAGACATCCATAAGTTTTGATCCGGGAAGAGTTACGGGGCCTGTAAGGTACAGTTGGCAAGCTCATTTGGAGCCCATCAGAAGTCTATTGATGAGAACTAATGTAAAATGTCTGGCGGATGAATTCATGGAGCAGGCTGAACGTCAGAAGTTTGTGCATAAAGCCCAAAGGGCTTAAATGAGCTTGTCTCATTCAGACGGCCATAACGTTTTATTCGGGAAGAGTTACGGGGCCTGTAAGATGCCGTTGGAATTCTCATTCAGAGCCTGTCGTCGTGGACTAATGCAAAATGTCTGACAAATGAATTCATGGAACGGCCTAAACGTCAGATCTCCATGCGCAAAGCCCAAAAGGCTTAAATGAGCATTCCCCATTTAGACGGCCGTAACTTTTGATCCGAGAAGAGTTACGGGGCTTGAAAGATGTCGTTGCAAAGCTCATTCAGAGCCCGTCGACATAGACTAATGTAGAATGTCTGACAGATGAATTCATGGAGCTGGCTGAACGTCAGAATTTCGTGTGTAAAGCCCAAAGGTCTTAAATGAGTATGCTCCATTCAGACAGCCATAACTTTTGATCTGAGAAGAGTTACGAGGCCTGCATGATACCGTTGGAAAGCTCATTCTGAGCCCGTCAGATGTCTATCAATGAAGACTAATGTAGAATGTCTGGTGGATGAATTAATGGACCGGGCTGAACGTCAGAACTCTGTGCGTAAAGCCCAAATGGCTTAAATGAGCATGTCCAATTCAAATGGCCATAACTTTTCATCCAGGAAGAGTCATGGGGCCTGTAAGATACCGTTAGAAATCTCATTCAGAGCTTGTCAATGTGGACTAATGTAGAATGTCTGACGGATGAATTCATGGAGCGGAATGAACGTTAGAACTCCATGCGTAAAGCCTAAAGAGCTTAAATGAGCATGTCCCATTCAGACGGCCATAACTTTTCATCTGGGAAGAGGTACAGGGCCTGTAAGATACCGTTTGAAATCTCATTCAGAGCCTGTCGATGTGGACTAATGTAGAATGTCTAACAGGTGAATTAATGGAGCGGGCTGAACGTCAGAACTCCATGCATAAGGCCC